GAGAGAAGGAAATAAATGAGTGTATGCACTGCAAGACGGATTAAATAAATCATGAATATAATTTGTTTCAATTACTGAAATTTAATCAATGTCGCAGAAGCCGTTTCGAAGAAATTACATTTTTATATTCGGAAACCCCTGTGAAGGACCCTTCTTAAATTATAATGATCATAATCACCGAACACTGACCTATTATAGATAAACTCTTACATGCCGAATACTGATAAACTCCGTCTAACCATTCAGTCGCTAGCAAGGGTTATGTTTATTAGGGTCACACTTTATGCCACTTTCAAATAGCGCGATATAAAAAAAAATAAACTGTCATGTTCAAGGGGTTTCGTGACTAATAATAATGGGTTCTGAATTTGATGATTGGGTTTATTAGCACTTCTTCACAATTATAACAGCTCACATGTTGAACTCCTGAAGAATCTCTCTGAAGAAACCCTCATCTTGGACCGATCTCTACTAGCCTCGAATTCACGAATGCACTGTTTTATAGCCGCCAAGCGGCCGGGACAGAAGTCACCTTAGTGAACAGTTCCTCTGTTCTTTTGTGTTGTCACGGGAATAGCTTTGTTACCATTGATTGCCGCGGAAACAAATTTTACCTAGCCGTTGCCTACCAAAAATGACTTCAGCTTCTGCTATAATTTCGGCTTTTAAGCAGTGTTTACCTAGTCATCGCCTAGAAAATAGTCATACTCCGTCACAATACTAATGAAGTCTCACTTTATGCGCAAAGTTTTAAACAATATGAATTCCCCCCCACAAAGAAATCGGCAAGAATTGCGTATATGTTTCAAAATTTGTTTCGAATTATGCGAGGCCTTCAGGAAAGCCTCCTCGGATGCACTGTATACACATAAGCAATTCCGTATGGAGGCAGCGTCGGGTACCTCCACCGCAGCCCTGTGAGTCGTAAAGCAATCCCGTATGGAGGCAGCGTCGGGTACCTCCACCGCAGCCCTGTGAGTCGTAAAGCAATCCCGTATGGAGGCAGCGTCGGGTACCTCCACCGTGACCCTGTGAGTCGTAGGAGGCGACGAAAAGGGAAGTCTCGAATCTGAGACAGTAAAATATTGTCTCGAGTCCCATGGGAATCGGACCCGAGAATCACTGCGCTGGCGAAGGCCAGCAACAACTGTAAACGACAGCCCCGTCCTATCATCAGAGAGAGAGCCACATCAGTAAACCCGCAACTGACAGTAAATATTTGGTCCTGGGCCCCAGATGGGTGCTTTATTTCAAGACAGACTGACCGACTGACCAGGTACATACGCATACAGACTGACAGACGTCATTACAAAATACACTTGCACGTACTCAGGGAGACTGAAAACATGTCTTTACATCGCTTAACTGCTGATCACAATATATTCTGTAACTCTTTATAAGAAGAAGCAAATTGTACATCAATTTCATAATCACGCTTCCATCTGGAAGAGTAACATTTACAGGCCATGTTTATTTTGTCCGGGTAAACGAAACAACAGTTAACAATGTTCTAGGCCTGGCCTGAAGGCAGCGAAATCATTAGAGAGAGACCTACGTATATATATGCAATGGAATCGGCATGCTCTCAGAATCGTGAAGCGCATGCGCCGCTCTGCACATGTAATTTGTTTCTTTATTGTGTTACAGACAACAAAAATAAACGAAAGTTTAAAAATATTTTTGCCTGTAATTTCTGCCATTTTAAAAACCGTAATAACACATAAAATACGTTAGAATTTGACCATGAAAACCTTTCATATTAATGCAATAAAATAACCACATCAAAAGAGTTTAATTGGCTTATACGCATATGCGCATTTTTATTTCGATGTTAAAATATAAAAATTCTAGAATTCGTGTGTTTCGATGCTGGACCATGTCTACGAATTTCATTTTTCTATGTCGGTTATTTTACGGAGCTGATGTTAGGTAATTCCCGCGTGGATGCTGGTCAGAATACCTCCACTGTAGCCCTGAGAGTCGTAGGAGGCGAAGAAAAGGGAACCCAGTGCCTGGGGGTATAACCGGGCCATGCTGTTCCTGGGGGATATAAATACAGTAACATGTACATCCGTTGCTCCGTTGCTACGCAATAGGCGACTTAACAAATGGCCGTTTCTAAGCAATCTATCGGTCAACACGCCTACAACAATAGAGGGAACTGTTGAATGAAGTGTTTTCTGTTGAGTCCGCTCGGGGCTGTATAACGTGGACCCCAGGCCAGCTGAGACAATAACTGAGGAGAGATGACAGGGAGTAAGTTGAGGGTTGAGTTCTGCGCGGGCGACTATGAAAAGAGGACCTGAGAGCGGGAAGCTGAAGAATCTTTGTTAGAAGCCGTTGCCAGGGAACGGCTGTTGAAGACACTACGGGCTGGAAAATGCTGAGTGTTTGCAGCAGTAATTTGTAAATTGTGTAGATGAGCGGTGGCGCTCTAATTACTTGTAGTTTTGAGTGATGTGTACATGTGGTCAATAAATCCATTCACCAATCCAAACACCGTCCATAGTCACACCCCTAAATCGTTATAATACAGAGACCTAGTCCTCCACGTTGGGGTTTGACGCAATGTGGATGGCCTTATTCTGTAAAAGAGAATATTGTTGCGAAATCCAAGGAAGTGAAAACAGGGTGTAAGCTGGCAGAATCTTCTAAGGAAGGCTATGACCTAAAAAAGGAATGTTTTCAGAATTATATTTGCTAAATTACAGGCCGAATAACGGAGTAAACATATTAAAATGATTTGGAAAGGAGCGGTCGTATGCTCATCGAAGTACTTATCAGAAATTCTCTTGAAGGGCTGAGGAAATCCACTGCAAATTTTAGAATAACTTATGTCCGCACCGGGATTCAAACCGATCACTTCTAGGCCCGCCCATCGCGGTGTCTCCAGAAAGGCAATTTTTGGGCTCTTGTGTATTACATGCAGAAGCGCCTGTTCTTCGCGAGGGTGTGGCTGTTTCCCGAGGAGAGAGAAAGTTTATGTAGTTAAGAAGGCGGAGAGGAACTATACCGGCTTTGAAGGCACCCAGCCAGTGCCCGCTGTGGGTTCGAAAGAGGGCAAAGCTTTTAGAAGTGAAAAAGTAAAGTTCTAGGACGTGGGTTTCATTAGGAGTAGAAGAGACAAGTCGAACAGAGGCTTCACAGCCTATGGACGGAATTAATTTTGATAACAATGTTCGAAGGGCTGCATTAGAGGAAATTTTTAATTTTATAATCCGGCCTGTTACATGGATAGATTTTTTCCATAGTAGCTATATTTATTTTTGTTTCCTTCTAAAGTATATTGTTCCTAACTTGTACTATTCTCCAAGTATAATTAGAATGATCAAGTCAAGGAGGGTGAGCTGGGCAGGGCATGTAGTAAGAATGGGGGAGACGAGAAATGCGTATAGGATATTGGTTGGAAAGCGAGAAGGAAAGAGACCACTGGGAAGACCAAGGCGTAGGTGGGCGGACAATATTAAAATGGATCTTAGAGAGCTCGGATGGGATGGTACGGATTGGGTTGAGCTGACTCAGGATAGAGACCAGTGGAGGGCTTTTGTGAACACGGTAATGAACCTTCGGGTTCCATAAAATGCTGGGAAATTCTAATGTATACTGATGTTAACACGTTATGAGCGACAGGCCATGGCCTGGGCGACCGGACTTCGATTCACGGTACAGACAAAAGATTTTTCTCTTCTTCATAGCGTCCAGACCATCTTTGGGGCCCACCCAGCCTCCTATCCGATGGGTACCGGGAGCTCTTTCCCTGGAGGTAAAGTGACCAAGGAGAGGAACTGACCACTCACCTCCATCTAATGCCGAGGTCAAGAAAGGCGGAGTGTAATTCCCCCCCCCCCGATAGGTCTTCATTACTTAATGCTTAATTAAACACAGGGACAATTTTAATTTCTACATCATTTATGCTTCTGTCTGCTTAGCATGTCTACCTCGTGCACATTGTATACTTCCGCGTTCTCAATAGGTCCAAAATATAACACCATGCAGCTGAGTCCTTC